TGTATTTAAACTAGATGCTACATAGGTATGTAATATATTGTGTCATGTTAATATATTAAACTAAGGTAAAAATGCAGTAGCCATGGCATTCAGTATCTACAGAACTCTGAACCAAATTTTAATTATCAAAAGTTGATTCTGATGACAAGAGATTTTGATGAGATATTGTGTGACATTGCCTAACACTTTGACATTGTTGTGAGATCATGGAATTATTCTTTATCCTTTTGCAACTGCACTATTATGCACCACTGTGTATTGCTTCAGGCTACCTGAACAAATAATTGAACCATTTATTTATTTACAGTGTTAATTTCACTGGCTAACCATGCAACATAACTCTGGGTTGCTTACAGAGGGTTAAAAACAAACAATATGATTCAGTGGTAGTAATAAAAATGGCCCTGCTGAAATAGGGGGGAAAATACAATAATCAGACAAAAACAATCTCAGTGATGGGTTTATACAACGTCCCATCTCAGTTCCTGTGAGAAGAAACATTAATGTATTAAAGAAACATTTTTAACCAGACCCCAAGTCCTGTCCAAACTCCTATCAAAATGATCCTATTTGTGATAGAACAGTCTGATTTATGAATTTACTCCATCACTAAACTCAAAGGCTTCAGACTGTGAAAGCGGTGAAAGATTAATTTTCTATTCTCATGACTTATCCTAAAATATATATGGATGTTATTATTGAATCATCCAGTTAAAAATTGTAAGAGAAAATCTGTTCTGCAAGACTTCATGAATATTTGCAACATGAAATAGACATTTTCTGTGAAAAACCTGGGCAAATCTGCTTGATCCGTATACAAAGAGTTCATGCACTTTCTCTGCATTGTGTGCAGAAGATATTGTTCAGCAAGGTCTAAAGTCATTGTTTCTTGTTATGAGTTTTTCTTGACTATCAAAGCTTGCTGGAAAAGCATTATGAATAACAAAGAAACCCTTAAGTTACTAAATAAGCATTTATAATGCAGAGACAAGAATGCTATGCCATTTGTTCTGGAATAATACTAGGCTGCTTTCAATGAAACACATGAATCAGAATCCATATGTTCCATATGAAGCCTGGAAAGCTCTACATGTATCTCAAGTGTCCAGAATGCATAAGAGATTGCATTCTGTGTGCTGTTTTTGATCCAGCCAGAAATATTTTACAATTAGTTCACAAACTTAGAATCTTTAAATACTTGAGACATCAGCACTGAAGGACCCTTCAGTTATACCAGGGGTCAAACTGCAACATACTCAAATTACATGGATTTGACTTATAGCTATTACAGTTGCGATGACCAAAGATCTGTTTCACTTGACAAGTCATGTGCAAAGCTTTGAAAAGGAGCTTTGCTGTGATAGAGGTTGTTTTATTAAATCCTCCACTTCCAAAAGCAAAGAAAAGTGGTCATGTTCCTCTATTTCCCTTCTGCAACCTCCTCTAAGAATTCCAGGAACTGGAACAGGCTTTGGCATAATACAGCATACACACAGAAGCCTCTTCTGGTTACTGAAAAGATCATACCCACCCATTACACTGTGAATCAGTTTTGAAGAGTTTTTTTTTTAGGCTCCATCAAAGCAAAGCATGTCCCTCAAAGTTTTGTGAAGCCCTGTCAAGTATGTGTCTATTAAAAAGGCAGTTAAGATGTTATAATATGTATTAAAATATTGAAGCACCAAGAAAATGCAAGCAGAGAGGGCTGTAAAGTTCTAAAACAGAATGTCAAACTGGTTTTACTTACCTTACTTTATGAGTTCAAGATACTAATTTGCATTCAAACTGCAAGCTTTATGGGCCCAAAATATTGGGTGGGATTGTATAACCTGCTAGACAAAGCTGAAATGGGATTTGAAGGTTTGAGGCTGTGAAAACCAGCCATAGTGTTACCAAGTCATATGAACCAGGCCATTATATCACACCATGTCATGTGAACACATTCAGGTTTAAGATTTAGTTTGTGGTAAGGTACAGCATCTGACATGATGTTCAACTATATAGTGTTTCCCTGCTCCAGCTAATAATATGGAGCAAAGCAAGAGAATAATACACATCCTATTTCTGTCCTGGAATTAAGGCTGAATGAGAGCATTAGCCGAATATGGCTGGTTCCATCTACTATTCTTGCAAAGCTGAATGGAAGTTTCTGAAAACACGTGGTTCATACCCACTTGAATGCAAACAGAAAACTATGTGATCAGGAACCTTTGAAGTCAAGTAGAAACCTTATGAAATCTGGAAAGGTTGGGATTAAAAAGGTATTCTCCTTTTCTGAGTTTGAGAGCCAGTGTGATTTAGTGATTAAAATATTGGATTTGTATCAGGGAGACCAGATTCAAGAACTCAGTTGATTATAGAGCACACTAGGTGATTTTGGGCCAGTAATTGCCTCTCAATCCAACTGGCCTCAGAAGTTGTTGTGCAGATATAATTAGGAGGTACATCCAAGCATGCCGCATCAAGATGTCAGGAGAAAAACTGGGAAACAAACAAACAAGCAAAGCTTTCTTCTTAATGGCTCTGTTCACAAAATATGAGCAACTCAGCCACCCCCTCCAAGAGATTAATCTTTGAGTGCCCACTGCACCTGACACAAGATGGTTGATTTATCACTTGTTGGCCATTTTTTTAGTCCTCACAGTCCTTTTCCAAAAGGAAAAGAGAAACTTTACACTAGTAAAGAATAAAATAAATAATCTGCCAATATATGTAGCCAAGAAAGTAATATTCAAGATCCATTATACATACTGTATATAGTAAATTCAGTTAGCATAGAAGCATAGTGGTTTCCTTCCTGGACTGAACCTTTAGAAGAATCTGATTACAGAGCTCGATAAAGAATAGAACTATTCTGTACCTCATAGGAGCATAAATATACAACTATTTATTTTTGCATTCAATTTATCTGTTTGGCTATCTATTCTCATAAAGATACATTTGGTTAGAGATGTTCCTCATAACTAGTGAGCGTTCTCACATGAGGCAACAAGTTCCCTGGGTCATTCAGGATAGTCCAACATGATCAGTGTGGGCTTTATGGGGCCCCTGACTCCCCTTGACACAAATCTATCAGCAGCAGCATCTCTCATACCTTCCTATCAGGAGTGAGCTAGGATGGAGACGATTAGAAAGCTCTCAAAGTATTCTAATTTTTCACCTTGTTTAGTCACTTCCATGTATACTTTTAAAAAATAAATTTGACAGAAGAAAAAAAATTCTGATACAATTCTCAACGAGGTATGCTGTCTAGCACTTATCTAAGTTATGATGAAGCAGAGGTATACGATTGCCCTGCCTTTCATGTACAAAATCTGTCCTAAACTCTGCAGCCTCGTTGACTTCCTTCTTTATAATTCAATCCCAAGGCAAGACATCCTAAGCAACATCTCTCATGGTTGTTTGTTGATGCATTTTTTTTCCAGATCAGAATGTATAGGAAGCTGGACAGGTAGCAAAAGGCAGTGATTGAGGTGATAAACTAGGAGCAAGTAGGGAGATCCAGCTTTTGTTACAGAAACTCATGGATAACTTTGGCACTGCGCCTCAGTCTACCTACTTCACATGATTGGTTTTGTGGGGGGGGGAAATAGAGAAGAGAGGGCAGATGACACCTTTAGCTCCTGCGAAAAAAAAGGCAGGCTATAAGTAGAACGCATAAAAATAAATAACATTAAAAATAGGGGAGGGTGTAGCAGAAAACAACCATAATAGCAGCATTCTCTGCTCCCCTGCAATAGAAGTAAATAAATAAAATGAAAACTACCATTGAAAGGAACATTCTGAATAGAAGCTTCTTTTCCAGGGGAAGATCACTTCTAGGCTGATTCTGACACATTATTATCTGGGACAAACTAAATGCAAATATATAT